TCTAAAACAGAACTCATGTTACAATGAATCGAGCAGAGGAGGTTGGTTTTGTAGATAAAAAAGGAACAAAGAAAGCAGGGAAGAAAAAAAGTAAAAGAGCAGAGTCATTTCAAAGTTACTCTCTTTGCAGGGTGGGCCGCGTCAGAACTAAAGAGAAAGAGCTGATTGCTCAGACTCAGATTACAACTGAAACTAGCCTGTTTGGGGAAATTTGGCTGTTTTATCTAGGCATGATTTCCCAGGTCAGATAAACAGCTCAGTGGCACTGAACTTTAGTCTGACTGGCTCCATTTTGACTTGACATTGATCTGCCAGGGTCCAGGGCTGGATCTTAGACCAACAGTTTACAGAAACAGATTTCTTTTTTCTTTCTTTCACTTTTTCCCCCCTTTGCAGTGCTGAGGATAAAACCCAAGGCCTCATGTAGGCCAAGCAAGTACCTTATTGAGCTACACGCCCAGCCCAGAATCAGATCTCTTGCCTGTGACATTTACTTGCTTCCCACAACAAGCAATTCGTAAGAATAAGCCAAGAAATAACCAGTCCTCAAATGTACCAAGTATACACCCACCATACCTTTGGTTCTTAGTTATTTGAAAAATAAAAATAAAAAGGAAAACCAACCATAGCACAGGACATACTAGGCACAGAACCACAGGCCTTCTGCACCTTTCTTTTCAGCTAAGGTCACAGATAAACAGGTCAGGAGGAGGAGGCAATATTTAAGTACCATTCACCCTGAGAGTCTTTTTTATTTTTTAGATCTTTTAATTTAATTTTTTTAATGTGTATGAGTGATCGCCTGCATGTAAATGCACTTATGTCATGCAGTGCCCACAGAGGTCAGAAGAGGGCATCAGATCCCCTCGAACTGGAGTTAAGAGACTGTTGCTAGCTTCCATGTGGTGCTGGCTATTAAATCCGGTTCTTCAGCAAGAGCATGAAGTACTCTTAACCACTGAGCCATCTCTCCAGCCCCACCCTGAGATTCTTGATAAATGGGGGACAGAAGCTTAGCTAAGGATTAAACGATATATGTGGAGAGACAGGCATTCGAGGCGGATGAGGACTGTGTTTCTGAAAATAGTTTAAGATGAAAGCTATGTTTCTGCCATCTAAGTCAATCCTTCAAACACTCATTTGTACATTTACTTAAGCAAATACATGCCTCCCTACTGGATAAATCTGGAGATGAGGGAAGAAACTGGACAGAGAGAGACCTAAATTTGAAAGTATCCCCGATGAAGCTACAGGTCATATAAGGGAAGAAAGGAAAAGACAGAGAAAACAGGTATGGTGGCTCATGCCTGTAATTCCAGAATTTGGGAGATTAAGGCAAGAAGACTTCCCTGAGTTCAAGGCCAGTCTAGGGGTTCCAGATCATTCTGGGGTACACAGCAAGACCTTGTCTCAAAAAATTAAAGGGGAGGGGTGTTAGGGAGAAAGATTATAGTGAGCTACATTAATGTGTACATGTCCAAGCATAATGATACATTCATATAATCCCAGCACTTAGGAGGCAGAGTCAGGAGGATTACCGCAAGTTCAAGGTAGCACAGTGAGACTCTGATAGAGAAAAATAACCATCAAAACAAATAAAAATAGTGATGTTAATATATATATATATATATATGGGCTGAAGAGATGGCTCAGTGGTTAAGAGCACTGGCTACTCTTGCAGAAGACCCAGGTTTGGTTCCCAGCACCCACATGGGCGTTCACAACCAGAGGGTCTGATGCCCTCTTCTGGCTTCTGAGAGCACTGTATGTAATCCAACACCTTCTTCTGGCCTCTGAGGGCACTGCACGATACAGGTGCACTTACATACATGCAGGCAATATACTCATACACTAAAATACAAATAATAAATATATATATTTTTTAAAAGCATCTGGGGGCTAGAGAGATGGCTCAGCAGTTAAGAGTACTAGCTGCTCTTGCAGAAGACCTGGGTTCGGTTCCCAGCACCCACATGGCAGCTAACATCCACCCTTCATTCCAGTTCCAGGGTATTTAATACCCCCTTCTGGGCTCTGTGGGCATTGCTTGCACAAGTGCACTTACATACATTCAGGGAAACGCTCATATACATAAATGTTTTTTAAAAAAAGTAAATACAAAAAAAATTTTTTAAGTAGCTGTAAGAGCTAAACTATTTTTATAATACTCATCAATCCAAATAACAAATAGAGAGCAATTCTCCAAAGTATTCAGGAATGACTATTGCAATGGAAATACACCTGCCATTGTAAATGACATAATATTATGTGTGTGTGTGTGTGTATGTGTGTGTATGTGTGTGTGTTTATGTATTCGAGAACTAGTCTAAGTCTTCCCTTTTTCAGGCATGGTGGTGCATGCCTTTAATCCTAGCACTCAGGAGGCAGAAGCAGGAAGATCTCTGAGTTTGAGGCCAACCTGGTCTACACAGCAAGTTCCAAGTGAACCAGGACTGCATAGTGCAACCCTGTCTCAAAAAAAAATAGTCTTCCCTTTTACAACCACACATCTGAATGAAGCCAGATTTTCCTTTCTTCTTCTTCCTTTTTTTTTTTTTTTTGGTGATGCAAATTAAACTCTGCCTCCTGCGTGCTAAGTGAATACCACTGAGCTACATGTCCAGCCAGATTTTCTTCATACACTTCAATCAGAATAGCATATAGCAAGAGACCAAACGCAGAAACAGAAGGGAATTCAGTTATTCTATTTTGTATGACAGCAAAGTTACATAGAATTTATAGGACTAGCAAGATGGCTCAGCAAAGTGGTAAAGATACTTGCTGCTAATAAGCCTGATGACCTGAGTTTGATCCCCAGGACCCAGACTGTGGAAAGGAGAGAACTGACTCCCAAAAGTTATTCTCTGACCCCCTACACACACACACACACAACAAATTTTTTTTAAATTTACAATGCAATATCTGTTTCCTCATCAAAATTTATGATCAAAAAGTTCTAGGCTGGTGTACTGGATAGCTTTAGTGTCAACTTGACATACCTGGGTTGAGGGAACCTCAATCGGGGAATTGCCTCTATTGGACTGGCCTGTGGCCATGTCTGAGTGGCATCTTCTTGATGAGTGATGTGGGAGGGCCCAGCCCACTGTGGGTGGTGCCACCCCTGGGCAGGTGGGCCTGTGCTGCATAAGAAGGCTGAGCAGGGGCCAGGGGAGCAAGCCAGTAAGCAGAGTTCCTCCATGGCCTGTGCTCCAGCTCCTGCCTCCTGCCCTGAGTTCCTACCTTGGGCTCCTGGTTGAACTGTGACCCGGGTGATGTAAGACAAACCCTTTCCTCCCCAAGTTTAGTGGTCAGTGTTTTGTCACAGCAATGGAGAAACAAACCAGAACAGCTGGGCATGATAGTGCATGCTTGTAATCTCAGCACTCGGGAGGCTAAGGCAAGAGGATTTGAAGTTCAATATCAGACTGTAGTACAGAGCAAGACCCTGCCTGAAAAGGTTCTTTGTCAGCACATGCCTTTAATCCCAGCACTCAGGAGGCAGAGGCAGGGGGCTCTCTATGAGTTCTAGGCCAGTAAGTGCTAAATGGCGAGACCCTGTCTCAAAAAACCAAAACCAACCAACTAAACAAAAGTTCTTTTTTCATAAATATTCATGTTAACATATCAAGAGTTTCCTATTGGCACTTTGAAATAAATTATTTTCAAAATTTAATTTGAGGGGCTTGAGAGCTGACTTAGAGGTTTAGAGCTTTTGCTGTTTTTGTAGAGGGTCCTGAGTTTGGTTTGCAGAACCTATGTCAGCCCACTGATAACAGCCTATAACTCTAGCTCCATGGTATCCAACATCCTCTTCTGTACTCCAAGGGCACCTACATTCACATGTGCAAATACCCACACACAGACACATAATTAAAATTTGCTTAAATGGGGCTGGAGAGATGGATCAGCTGTTCATGCAGAGGACCCATCTTTGATTCCCAGCACCCACATGGAGGCTAACAACTGTCTGTAACACAAGTTCCAGGGGATCCAATGCTTTCTTCTGACCTCTGTGGGCACTGCACGACATGGGTACACTTACATCCATGCAAGCAATACACTCATACACATAAAAATAACAAATATTTAAAAAATTTTTAAAAGTCTTTTAAAAAGAGATAATATCCTTTATTTATTTATTTGGTCTTTTTGAGACAGGGTCTCCCTTTAGCCACAGCTAGCCTGGAACTCGCTAGGGAGACCAAGCTGGCCTCAATCTCAGAGATACCCCTCTCAAGTGCTGGGATTAAAGGCGTGTGTTACCATGCCTGGCTGAGATAATATACTTAAAAATCAAACAAACAAAAACCTTAATTTCCATTTCTAATACAGTAAATATTAATGGCTAATTTCATGAAGCAATAGTTCCTAGAGGTTTTTAAATTTTAAGAGTATAGAGAGTCCTAAGAAGAGGTAGTGATTAGCTTAGTTTTTAGAGAGTTTGCCTAGCAAGCATGTAGCCTTGGGTTCCATCTCTGGCATCACATAAAACCAGGTAAGGTGGCACATGCCTATGTCCAGCACTTGGGTGGTGGAGGCAGGAAGATCAGAAGTTTAAGGCCTTCCTTGCCTACGTAGCCTATATAGCAAGTTTGATGCCAGTTTGGGATATATAAGACCATGCCTAATGCCTATGTCCAGCACTTGGGTGGTGGAGGCAGGAAGATCAGAAGTTTAAGGTCTTCCTTGCCTACGTAGCCTATATAGCAAGTTTGATGCCAGTTTGGGATATATAAGACCTTGTTAAAAAAGAAAAAGAAAAAGAGGAAAAAAAGACTAAAGGGCCTAGAGAAAGGACACCTATACTCCCACACTTGTGAAGAGCAGAGAGCAGGGTAAACCAGCTCAGAAAGAAAGGAGCCTGCAAAGATGAACAAAGGTTGTGTATGAGGTTTCACAAGAGCCACCAAAAAGGAGGGAGGCGTCTGAGGTGCTGTTGCCTCTTGTGCTATGGAGAGGCTGGGTAAGGATGGCATTAAAGAAATAAACTGTCATAGTACCTGCAAGATTGCCAGGCCAGGTGTGAAGCCAGGTACGTGTTCCTTCATCTGAGTGACTTGGTTCTTCAGTCGTTCCCTTATTTGCCTAGAGGAACAGGGAAAGTGGAAGTTAACACTTCAGGTTGCAAGCCCATCTCTTAAGTGGATGCATCATCCTTTGGAAATTGAATACCTTTACTGTATGGATATTAAGTGGTATAATATATATTATGACCTTCCTATCAATTTCCCAAGCCTCAAGTTGACTTGGATATTTTTCCTATTGACACTGGCTGAGCTATGAGTTAGGTATAGGGCAAGTCAACTCAAAATGTCTTAGTTGGGCTAGGGGCACTTGCCTGCCATGTGTGAGGCCCTGGTTTCCATCCTCAAAAAACCAAGATTTATTAGCTGATGGCATTCAGAACCCTACAGTGAGTAAACTGAAAACCTGGACAATACTTCTGGAAGGTGCTGCTCCTCATCTTCAGCATTTCCACACTCCATGCCACCATGAAAACCTTTTATAGGGAAGAACTTCAGTTTATGCCTTTTGTTAATCTACTCCAGTAATGACCACAAGGCATCACTGAAGACAAAGGACAGAAAAATGAATACCACTCTGAATTTGGCATGAACTCATGGTATCCTAATTTGAGAAGGAATTTTCCTTACAAAATAATTTAAACTGAGCATGGTGACAGGCACCTCTCTGTAACCCCAGCACTTAGGAGGTGGTGGCAGGAGGCCAGCCACAAGTCGGAGGCCAGCTTTGTCTAGATAACGAGTTCCAACCCAGTCAGACCGATTTGGCAAGACTGTCTCAAAAAAAAGCTAAGCCACTCAGTATGTGGAGGCATGCAAACAAGGAGTTCAAGGCTATCCTTAGTTACGTAACAAGTTTGAGGCCAGCCTAGGCTACAAGAGACTATCTCAAAGAGGCGGTCATCAAAATGACTGGGCAGGTAAGGGTACTTGCCACCAAGACTAAGGGCCTGAGTTTGATCCCTAGAACCTATGTGTAAAGGGAGAGAATCACCTCCCACAACATATCCCCTGACCTCCAAACGCATAAATAAATAAATAAATAAATAAATGTAATTGAAAAAAATTTAAAGAGAAAGAATTTAACATAAAGATAAAATTATAACCTCTTATGAAACCAAAACAATCAGTTTATATAACATACGTTTTTTCAACAATATAGTAAATATCAAGTCAATTAATACATCCAGAAATGCATATTCAAAATAGCCCCAGCTTTGCTGAGTTCTAATCCAGTCAGACATGAACAGGAGTCATCTCTCTTGGCAAGCCAGTGTCGTCATCTGTTCTAGTCACCCACCTTAACATATTTGACCTACAGATACAAGCTGACACTCCCAAGCCTCTCTCTACTCATTCTAACAGGAATGTTCTCAGGTCTATCTCTCCGTACTTTCCCAAAGCTGATAGGAGATACAGAAGCTATAAGAACTAGTTTATTTGGACTAGCCTCGTAACCATCATGAATATCAAATGCCAGGCCTAGTGGCTCAGCCCTGAATCTCAACCCAAGAGGTTGAGACAGGAGGATCAAAAGTCCAAAATTTGACCAAGTGTGGTAGCATAGAGCATTAATCCCAGCACTTGAAAGGCAGAGGCAGATGGATCTCTGTGAGTTCAAGGTCAGCCTGGTCTACATAGTGAGTTCCAGGCCAGCCAGGCTATACAGTGAGACCCTATCTCAAAAAAATAAAATAAAAAATCGAAGTCTGCCTGGACTACATAGTGAGGTTCAAGATCAGTCTAGGCAACTTAGTGAGAACCTGTCTCAAAATTAAAAATAATAAAAGCTGGTATGGTGACATATCCTGCAACTCTGCAATCCCACTCAACAAGATTGAAGCAGGAGATTGCTATGAGTTCAAGACCAACTTGGGCTACGTAGGAAATACCAGGCATACCAGGGCTATATAGCAAAGACTATGTATCTCAAAAATAAAGTTACACTGTCATACCCAAGAATTCCACATTTTATTTCTAGCTAGTGACTTTGTTTTTACAAAACATTATTCTGTGCAAAAATATAGTTCAAGGGGCTGGAGAAATAGCTCAGTAATTAAGAGTACTGGCTACTCTTGAGTTTGGTTCCCAGCACACACATCATGGCTCACGACCACCAGTAACTTCAGTTCCAGGGGGTCCAACACCATCTTCAGATGTCTATGGGCATTGCACAACATGGGTGCACTTACACACATATATTTATTTATATGATGCAAAACACTCATATACGTAAAATAAAAATTTTTTAACAAAGAACATTTTCAAAAGAAGAATTAACAAGTCATAATTTTGTTGTTTTGGAACTGGGATTTGACCTGGACAGTGGGCATAGTTCTGCTCAGAAACAAGACGGGAGACCCTGCAGCTGCTGAGTTTCTTCTGGACAATCCAGACTTCGCTGCTCTGGTCAATGACAAGGAGCAGTGGTGCCCAGCAGCTGCAGGCGGTCCTGAATCAAGCTCCCGGCCTGCTTCTCCTCTCTGTCCCTCTAACCACTACATTAATGCAAAGCACTTTAGGACAGAAAACAAAACAAGACAAGAAGCACAAAGTGTCTGTTGATCAGTGCTTTATTAGGCAAGCTTCTAATCTCAGTAGTTGGGAGGCAGAAGCAAGAGGATCAGGAATTTGCTGTCATTCTCAAATGAGCAGAGCCTTGGCTAGTAGAGAATCTGTCTCAAACATTAAAAAGGCTTAGAGGGCGGTATGGTAGGCAAAAGTTTCTACTGGTTCTCCTTAACCTTACCCCAACCTAAGCAAAACCCATGTAGTAGCATTACTAGCAAAACATTAAAAAAGAAGTAAAAAGCTCAGAGAGCAGAAAAAATAACAAGAAACAAGAGTGAAAACAAAGGAACACTTCTGAACTTCTGAGATTGTCCCCTGCAGTAGGCAAAGCAGGAGAGGCTTTCTTTATGCCACTCAGATGAAAAACAATCTCACAACAGCCCAGTGAAGGATGGGCGTGGAGGCGCATGCCTTCAGTCCCAGCAAAGGCAGGTGGATCTCTGTGTGAGGCCATCCTGGTCTACATAGCTAGTTCCAGGACAGCTGGGGTTACAGGGAGACCTTGTCTCAAAAGACCAAAAACAAAAACAAAAGCAAGCAAACAAAAAACCACAAACAATAGTCCAGTGACTTTTCTGGGGCTAGGGAGCAGAGGGATGAGCAATATCAAGGCCCTAAGTAGGCAACTGATAGCCACCTGGAAACAGATCAGCAGCCAGTATAGAGGGACTGTTTTATTTTGATGTGATAAGAAGTCATCACGGGGCTTGGAACACAGTTTACATGGTCAGACTTACATTTTTAAAGGTTTGTTCTGGTTGCTGAACTGGGAAGAGTCGGGGAGGAGACAAAAACCAGGGCATCAGAAAGAAATCACTGCCAGGGCTGGACAGATGGCTCAGTGGTTAAGAAATGGCTGCTTTTGCAGAAGACCCTGGTTCAATCCCCAGCACCCACAGGAGGGCTATCAACTGTTGTAACTCCAGTTCCAGAGGATCCAATGCCCTCTTCTGACTTCCAAAGGCATTGCATGACACAGGTGCACTTACACACATGCAGGCAATACACTCATACACATAAAATATATTATTTTTTTTTTTTTTAGACAAAGAAAGGTAAATCATTGCCACTGCAAAAGTTCAAGACAGCCATGGCTGTGACTGGATCAGTGTCATTGACAGTCTGGTAAAAACTGGCTGACTTCTAGATACGTCAGCATTAAGTACAGAGAAAAATGCCACAGCTACAGAGATAATGCTGAATTTGGGGGGTTGTGAAAGAGAGATGGAAAAACTCTCAACTGAAAATATCCTAAGACCCAGAGCAGATTCATACTGAGACTGAATTTATTCACCAAATCTTATAGATTCTAAAGTGAGCATCTGAGATCTAAAGTTGGATGTCTAGGGAGAAATAAAAATAATACTTACATAGCAGGTGGCAAGATACAGGAACCTAGTGCCACAGGTGGTTTAGTTGGAAAACACTATTTTAGCTTAGTAGGTTAAGAACAGAGAACAAAATGTTCCAGAATTCTTTGCTACCATTTCAATGAGCCTTGAAGCTTTTTTTAAAAGGGAAAAAAAAAAGATTCTAGCTGGAGATCAGTTACATTGACTTTCTTAAAACTTTTCCTAACAGGCAGATTTCTCTTCTGTGTATGTGTGCATTTGTGTGTATGTATGTACACATGTATGTGCAGGTGCATGTGTATGTGGAGGACAGAGCACAACCTTGGGTATCATTTTTAATCTCACACTGGCCCACAACTCACTTAGGTTCGCAGGTCAGTGAGGCACAGGTCTCTGCCACATTACTTTTTCCTTACTTTGTTTTGTTTTGGTTTTAACTGTATTTTGTGTGTATGCACCCTACATGTATACCACAGTATATGTGTGGTTAGAGGACAACTTGTTCCCAGAAGTTCTTTCTTCTACCACATGGACCTTGGGAACTGAACTCAGGTCATCAGGCTTGGCAGCAGGAGCCTTTACCTGCTGGGGTCTGGGGATTAAACTCAGGGCCTCACGCTTGCCAGGGAAGCATCTGACCAACTGCATTATCCCTCCAGCCTGTTTATTTGGTTTGTTTGGTTTTTTATATAGGCCACCCTGACCTCAAACTTTATGGCAATGCTTCTGCCTCAGCCTACTGAATGCTGCCACATGGCTCAGAAGTTTCTAAAGTAGTCTTGGCAGGGATGTCTATTCAATTGGAAAGGTTTGTTTAAAAGCTAACATCAGCCCAGTGTACTGGTACATGCCTATAATCTCAGCTCTCAGGAGACAGAGGCAAGAAGATTGTTATGGGTGTGAGGTCTAGTCTATACAGCAAGATCCTGTATGAAAAAACAAAACCAAACAACAAAAATAAAAAGCTAAGACCCTTTAAGACAACATGGACAGAAAAGCAATAAGATGATTTGGGGGGAGGGGGTGTTGGCAGCTAGAGAAATAGCTCAGCAGTTAAGAGCAACTGGCTGTTCTTGGAAAGGATCTAAGTTCAGCTCCCAGCACCCACATAGTGGCTCACAACCACCTGTAAATCCAG